TGAATTACTTAAGATTAAGCCAGAGAACCACAAAACACTACTAAAAGAAGCCAATAAAGACCTACATGAATGTTCCATGTTCATGGATAGGAAGACTTAATATTATGAAAATGTCAATACCTAAAACAATTATAAATATAATGCAATTCCAATTCAGATTCTGCCATCAGTCTTCAAAGAAATGAAGACCAACTTTATATGGAAAGGAAAGCAATTTGGTGTAAGCAAAGCACTACTTAAGAAGAATAACAAGGTAGGAAGCCCTCTCATTTCCCAATTTCAAAACCTACTATTACAGCCACGGTAGTTAAAATAGCCTGGTACTGATACAGCAATAGATACAGAGACCATTAGAACAAAATAGGGAACGCAGAAATATATCCAACCATTTACAGACAAGTAATTTTTGACAAAAGGACAAAATACATTAAATGGGGAAGAGACAGTCTCCAACAAATGGTTCTGGCAAAATTGGATTTTCATTTGCAGAGGAATGAAACGGGACCCACATCTTAATCCATATACAAAAATGAACACAAGATAGAACAAGGACCTACATGTAAACACTAGAACTCTGAAGTGCGTCAGTGAAAACATAGGAGTAATACATGACATAAGCATACTATCAAACATAAAGAAAAACAGCAGAAGGTAAAATAGATGACTGGGACCTCCTAAAACTAAGACACTTAAATCCATTAAAATAATTTATCAGAAGAGTTAAAAAAGAACCCACAGACTGGGGGTGGAGGGTGGGGCTGGGGGATTGGCAATGATACATCAGACAAGGAACTAATCTGTAAGATCTGTAGGAAACTGCAGCACCTCAACAAGGAGAAGGTGAACAATCCCATTATAATGGGCAGAAGACACGAACAGACAGCTCCCATCCAAAAAGCCATCATGCACTAAGATAAGCTTGGGATCAGTAGTCATTTGAGAGATGAAATTCTAAACAGCGATGAGATACCTTCTCATACTGGCAATGATAGAAAAGTTTAAAAACAAAACAAAAGAACAAATACTGGAAAGCATGTGGAGAAGATTTGAACCCTTATACCTGGATGGTGGGACTGTAGAACTGTACATTATGGCGCTTCCTCAGACAACAGGGAAAATAAAGAAATGACTCAGCAGACCTTCCACTCAGTACACACCCAAAAGGAACAAGAAACAGCACAAGCAACTGCTGTGCACCCCATGTTCATGGCAGCACTAGTCACAACTGCAGGAAGTTGGAAGCAGCCCAAATGCCCTTCAGTGGAGGAGTGGATAAATAAACGGGTTCATACACACAATGGAATACTATATGTCACCAAAAAATAATGAGAAATTGGAACACATAGTGACATGGATTCGGAGGATGTTAATGCTGAGTGAACTTAGCCAATCACAAAAGAATTAAGTATTGTCTGAGATCATTGATGTAAAAGGAAAATTAAGTTAAAAGTTTTTCATACCTAAAGAAATAGATTGATGGGTCGCAGGAGTGAGAAGGAAGGAGACGCACTAGGCTACAGAATAGACATGTGTTAACTAGAATGAAGAAGAAGAAGATAATCTATAAAAGGGAGGAGGGAGCAAGCAGGAGCTATAAGTTGTTTAAATTGTTGAGTACAAAAATGATTATCTGGAATGTAAACCCCCTAATTCACAATAAGTTAAAAAAAAAAAAAGAGCCCAGGGAAGACCTGCCTGTCCTCGTCATGTGTTGCGTCGTGCCCCGCCCCCCAGTGCTGGTTTGGAAGTCTTCTGTCCCTCTGGCCTCTTCATCCTATTCCCAAAGTCCAGTCTGCCCATTCTTCCCTCAGCGGCTGGGACTCAAAGATGAGGGCAGTGTTCTTGTACAAAGCCTGGCTGAGCAAAGTAAAGCTGAGGGATGAGAGACTCTTCCACTAAGTTTGTCTGCATTTCTGAAAGTGGGCCCAAGTTCTGTTGTGTTCCAGAATTTCTTTCGGCGGTGGGGGTGGGGGGTGGGGGAACGACGACGACGACTTTATTTATTTTGTGGTAAAAAAGAAAATGCTTGCCTTTTTGACTAGTTTTCAGTGTACAATTCGGTGACATTGATGACATTTACCATATTGTGTAATCATCACCAATATTTCCAAATGTTCCTTTGCACACTTTTAGGTATAACTCGCATTCTCTTCCTTCTACAACATTGGAGCATATTGTTGTAGCCACTCTGTCAGTTCATATTATTGATGGTCGTTCTCATTTTCACGGACTGATCTCTTTTGGACATTTATCTAAATCATGCCAGACATAGTTTCGCTTCCTCACATGTAAGGCATATTCTGGCTGTGCTGCCTCCTGGACAGATGTGTCCAGTGTTCCAGCAGCACACGTTGTGCATGGTCAGTGGACCTCAGCATTACTGTCATTTAAAGGCACCCGCTCTTCTCTGGGTCATTTTTCCGAACAGTACAGCTTGGACTCGGGTACCTTAGTCCTTAAGGTGATATTTTTGTTTTTGCAGCGGGTGTACCTAATGCAATATGTCATTTGATTTCTTCACTGCTGCATCTCTAGAGGTGTTTGTTTATTTCAAGGAAATGACTCAGGTAGTCGTGGAAGCTGGCAAGTCCCAAATCTTAGGGCCAAGCATAGACTGGAGGCTTCTTGTGACTTAGGTGGTGTGTTAGTCTGGGTAGACTAGAGAAACAAATTCATAAACACGCATATGTATATAAGGAAGAGGTTTATATACAAGAGGAATTGAACATTGAGAAAACACCCCAACCCAGTCCGGTCCAAGGCCATAAGTCTGATATTAGCCCATATGTCCGATACCAACCTGTCTAACACACAATCTATAAAGTCCTCTTCAGACTCACAAAATACATGCAGTGTAGCCAAATGCAGGACAATCACAAGCCAGTGGGTAGAAAGTCTTTGGGTCCAGTGGCGTTGTAAGCATCTCAGTGCTGGTAGGGGTTTCTCTGTGGCTTCTCCGCCTTCCGCGGTCTGGTTGTGTCCAGGTGGCTTGTCTTCTGCAGTGTCTCCCAGGGAGTAGCAGAGAGTCTCCCACCTCCGAGGAGGAAGTACCTGATTTCCCAGAATTCTCAAGAGAAGGCCATTCCACACAGAGGCCTCATTGGCTGATTGACAAACTAGACTCCACCCCTACACTCTTAATCCTCAAATTGACAAACGATTATATGTCTACCACAGGTGGTTTCAGGGACAGCCAACCCCCTAACCCCCACCCCAATTGGCTTGTCAGATGGCAGGCTTCTGGCTCACATCCCAAGGGATGAGGGGATGATGAGTTGGATGCAGGATCAAAAGGAGGTGAGTTTTGTCAGAACAGCCATATCTATTGGATACAGCCCTACCTGCAGAGAATTTCGCCTTTCAATGGATTGGCTATGCACACCTGATCACAAAACGAAGGATGATTACATTACGCCCAACAGAAGGCTGAGAATCATGGCCTAGCCAGGCTGATATAGCCTAATCATCACACTCAGCATGATGTTTTTAAGGTTTATTTATGTCAGATGTCTCAGAACTTTTTATGACCGGATGCTATTAGGCAGTACATCTTGTTTGTCCATTCATCTGTTGATTGACACCTAGGTTGTTTCTTTTCTTTTTTTAAATCATTTCATTGGGGGCTTATATAATTCTTAACACAATCCATAATACATCCATTGTGTCAAGCAGATATGTACATTTGTTGCCATCATCATTCTCAAAACACTTGCTCTCCACCTGAGCCTGTAATATCGGCTCTAGGTTGTTTCTTTTAACTTTGATGAATGATGCTTCTGTGAACATTTCTTGTCAGTGCCTTCAATCCTATTGGGTATATTTCTAGAAGTGGACTTGGTGGGTCATGGGATAGTTCAGTTTTAACTTGTCGAAGAACCACCCAACCGTTCTGTATAGTGTCTGCACCATGCCATCTTCTCAGCACCAATGCAGAAAGAGCCCGTTGCTGCCACATCTTGGCCACTGTTTGTTCTTTTCTGTTTCTCTGATAGCAGCCACTCTCGTGTGGCTGATATGGCAGCTCACTGCTGTTTTGACAGGCACTTCCCTGACGATGGATGATGTTGGCCATCTTTTATGTGTTTGTTGGCCATGCGTATATTTGTGGAGAAGGTCTAGTACGTACTTTGCTCATTTTAAAATTGGGTTTTCTTGTTAGTTTCTAAGGTTTTAAAAATAATGTTCTGCATGATCTATCCAACTAAGAACTATTTATATGTTCTGTATATGCTTTTCATGTTCTGTATTCTTGTGTAAATTGTGTATCTAAAGAGCAATATGAAAACACACTTTAATTCTCTAAGACAAATAGGTTTTTATACAGTGGCAAGGTAGATTGTAGTCAATGAGTATGTTTAGAATAGACCTTTTGCTTTGTTTCTTGGTATGTGCTTATGAAACTACATGGGTCGTAGGGTCTCTCCCCACAGCTAGGCTTTACTGGCCTTTACAAAGTACAGGTGATTATTTGCGTTGAGCTAGGAATCATTTTCCTCAAGTTTCACCTGTTTATTTCATAAAATTCATCCAGAGTACTCAGACCTTCCTTCTGTTCTCAGAATGCGTTGTTAGCTGCCTTCACGTGGACCCTGCTTTGGGGCAGTGACCCTGTGCCACGTGAGGGTGAGCGCCGCCCAGCCCTGGGCCAGTCCTGCCAGCCGCTGTGCACCGCACCATTGGTCAGTGGAATGTGCACTGGCTGATTTGGAGAAGTAGATTGACAGCCTTTCTACTGCAAAGTCTGAAAGGTCCGGCGTGAGGCTGTGTGTGAGGTGCCTTGGCCAGGACTTGGACCTGGAACTCCTAGGTGGAAGGCAAGCGTTGGAGACTCCCTACGCTGAACTGCCGGTCCCTTCGATTCATGGGTCCTTTCGAAATTTGTGATGGGCCTGAGCTTCCATGTCTAATTTGGATGTTTAACACGTGATCTAACGGGCTCTAACGCAGTCTTCCATTGATGGGTTTTCATAGTGATTGCTCACTCTCTCTCTTTTTTAAAGGACCTTAAAGCCTTTGATCCAGGAGAGAAGTACTTTTATAACACGTCATGGGGAGATGTTTCTCTCTGGGAACCTTCTGGAAAGAAAGTGGTAGGTATTTTTGCATTTAACCTTTAAGTGTCTTAAACGCAGTGTTCTGGGTAAACTAGATTCCGAGGACTATCATCTGTATTGGGATAATGAGTGGGGAGTGAATGCAGTAGTGTCACAATCAATCTAGAAAGTAGAAAGAAAAGCAGTAATTTGCATTGAGAGTTTGCTGCATGTGGAGTTGATAACCACTAAAGTGACACTTTCATTTTTGACACAAGAAGCCATGAATATAGGACGACCTGTGACCTAATTGTTTTGAGTAAAAAGAAATTCCACTACATTAAATGTACAAATTGATCAATAGTTTGTCCTGGTTTCTGAAACAAAGAAAAATGTGAATCTTGGAATTGGACAAATTTATAATGATTTGGATCGTAAGCCGAGTGAATTAACGTTGATACAGGACATGTACTGTCCAGTTCTGCCTATCAAGGCGGCCGTTTGAGCCACAAGCATTCACACTTCGGATAGTCTTGAACTAGGACATCCCAGCCAGCTCCTTCTGTCAGCTGAGCCACCATGTTCCAAGTCATGCCCTGTTTGGGAATTCAGAGTTTTGGTTTTGCTTTTTCTTTAGTTATTGGACTAATTGTGTTAAAAAGTTCTCAAAATCATTCTGGTTTTAATCCACTCTTGATTCCCATTTTTCAGCCTCTCTCGGCTTCCCCTCTTAGGTTGAGGGCAGCCTCTTACCTTCCTTGGTCATCAGACAGGGTTCTTAATGCTGCGTGAAGCTCAGAGCTGCTGAGACATGCCTGGCTTTGAAGACTCTGGATGGTTCTTTTCTTAGGCTTCTTTGGTTTTTCTCATCTGAATTCTTCACAGAGCCTATCATGTTACATGTAGTATAATTTATAATGACCATTTTTTTCATTCCCTGCTACAAAGACAGGTTACGTGGGTTTTGAGCGCTTCGTAACAAGAGGTACCTGCTTGGGTCTTGTCCTTCAGGAGTCTCTGTTCTTGTCTGGATAGGCAGGGCCTGAGCATGAAGACCTGAGAATGGATGTGATAGGAAGATGCCATGCTCTGAAAGGACAGTGCTACCTGGAGGAATAGAGACTTCTCTGCTACTCTGTATTCATAAATTGCTTTCATTGTAGCAGCATTCCACTGTAAAACCTCACAAGCCAAACTTGCCCTTGTTTTGTTTTTCTTGAGGTTTTGAGCACATCTGTGTTCAGTGTTTTATTTCTTGCCATTCCTAAGATAGTCTGTTGAAGAAGAAAAGTGGTTCAGGGTGGCACAGCAGAGTGGGATGTCACTGTGCTGTGTCACACGGTGGACACTGTGGTCATCGCCTCAGGTGAGGAGGGCTGTTACTGTGTGACCCTGAGGAAGCAGCATTAGACTTTGTGGGGAGGCCGGCTTTTCCTAGGAATTGACCTCGTCTGCATGTCTCTCGGCTGCTTTTCTTCTGTGCTCTCAATGAACTGAGTGACTCCCGTGGTTTCTGGTGGTCACGGGACAAGAGCCTTCACACCCTGGACTTTGTGTGACTGGCCAGGCCTTTTCATTCCTCTTGGGTAAATGCCTAGGTGGAAGCCTGCTGGGCTGTGTCTTCAGGGGAAAGGACCCCAGGGATTTCTGCAGTGGCACCTGCTCTGTGTCCTTGTTGCTGGTAGGTTGATGTCTGCCTCTGTGTGTATGTTCTTACAGATGTGTGGCAGTTCTCATTTGATTTTAATGTTCATTTCCTTAGACATGTTTAAAATCTTCTGATGTATTTATTTGGTATCAAATAGCTATTTGGGTAAAGTTCAAACCTTTTGTCCATTTTTTAAATGGGGTCATTCATTTTCTTAAAATTTAGATTTGAACATGTCCACGACACACATGAGGGAGCCTCAAAAGGTTTGTGGGGAAATGGAATTGAAAGATAATGGGATTTCCTCACAAAATTCCTATGTATTCTAGATTTAAAACCCGTAAAACAAACCTGAGGTCACTCCAGGTGGCCCTTCTGGAGGACCCCCCTCCCCCCCAGCCCCGCCCCATGTGGCAGAGTGGAGTCTTGTTGGTTGTAGTCGTTCTTGAAGCAGATGGCTTGGCGCTTTTTGCTTCCAACCTCTAGGTTCCCCAGTGGCAAAACCCTTTTGCCCCCTAGGGCCCTTCATATTCTGGTGTAGAAGCCAAGCCCACTGCCACAGAGTGATGTAGATTACCTCCTCTGTGTCCTGCAGAGCAGCTGGTGGGGCCTAACCCGCCAACCCAGCAGTCAGCAGCCAAGCACTTCCCCATTATACCAGCAGGGCCCCTCACTCTCTGGATGCATCTCCCAGTGGTTGCAGGCTGGTTGCAGGCCTTGTTTGTGGCTCCTGACTTGTCCATTTTACTCTGGAGTAAGGATAGGTCCTGTCTTGGCTGTCCTGTTTTACGAATGGCCTTGGGTGAAGACCTCCCAAAGGCTAGGCCAGCGCTTACCAACCCTAACTTGGGTTTGTTAGGAGGCCTGCCCTTTATCTCGAGAGGGCAGGGCTGCCTCCATGATCGAATTCTCCCTCCATCTGAGAGACCCGGGCCCCAGAACAGTCCCTACACACTTACTGCACTTGTTGCCGTGATGCTGACACATTTAAGACTAAGAAAGGCCTGGTGATCTCCTGAAAATCAGCCCAAGAACACTATGGATCACAACAATTCGACCGCAGCCGGTGTTGGGTGTGCAGAGCCAGGTGGCGCTGCAGCCCTCCTTGTGCCAGGAGCTCCCAGAATCAGAGGCTGGCACGATGGTACTTTTTTAATTGTGAACCGGGTGCCGTTTCCAGGGCATATGCTCAGGTCACCCTTCAACAATTCACACAGGTTCTGGTTTAAGGCCACCCATCACAACCAGGTGTTGAGGACAGAGACGAACCACTGTGGCGGGGTGGGGTGGGGTGGGGGGAAGGGTCGCGGGGCAGAGGAAGCCGCATTCGGGCTTTGTGGGAAGAGAGCACAACATCACCAGCCACAGAACAGCCACGTGTAACATCACCTCGGTCTACTTCCTGCTGTTTGTCCTGGTCCCTAACCCTCTGGGCATGCTGCCCTTTGCTCTGAGATGTCTGACTATCCTGGCTGGGCCAAAGGTATCTGCTCCTGTGGCAGGCTGCCAGGTCCTCACAGTGGGACCAGATGAACCAAGTGTGGGCTTTGCCCTTCTTTCCCAATTACTAGCTCAGCATGAGCATCACTGGGCACAGCCCCTCTCTTAACCACTGATGGTACCACCCACTGGGCACCTACTGCCTGCATCACATCAATGTGGGGGTGGCTGGAAAGGTATAAGTGGTTTGTAGGTCAGCTGCAGTCTTATGATAAAAGTTCCAGACTTTAGAGTTAAAGCAACATGGGAATTAAGAGAAAATAACTGTCTCTGGCCAAGAATTCACTGACCTTATTTTAATTGGTTGAGTCAAAGAGACTCATGATCTTAGTGGGTAGCTGGGGACAGGACTCAGCAGACTGCCTCCTGCAGACTACATCTGTCCAGGTACCTGTGAAGAGGAAGCAGTTCTTACATTTTCAAATACTTATTTGAACAAACCATTGGGAGTACAGCCTCTAGAAGCCAGTAGACCTAGGGACTGTGAAGGGGCCAGGCAACCCCATGCCTTTGGAGCGGGCGGGCTCTGAGGCCTACCTCTCGCTGTGGAGTCTTGAGTTCTCCAAGCTGGGGTAGCTCTGGGGCTTTCTGTGCTCACAGCCTTACTGTGGAAGAGTCCTTGCTATGGGGGCAGTGAGGTGCCCACTGCAGATCCCCCTCCCTTGCTGGCCCTTTCCAGAAAAGTCTTGCCCCTATTAGAACACATTGTTGCCTGACTAGCCTAGCGACAAGGTTAAGTCCAACGTGTGTCAGGAAAGGTGTGGCCTCTGAATGTCGGCACACCGTGCTTAAGATGTTCTTTTGTTTTAAACAGTTTTACTGGCACTTTGTCCACATAGCTCACAATTCAGTAATTCAATCATGTCAAGAGGACTTGTGCAATCACCACAAATTTATAACATTTTCTTCTTCCTTGTAGTCATGTCATTTGTGTAGTTATGTGTTTGTTTAAAAGATCATTTATTGGGGACTCTTACAACCATCCATGCATCAATTGTATCAAGCATATTTGTACATATGTTGCCATCATTATTTTATAAACATTTGCTTTCTGTTTGAGCCCTTGGTGTCAGCTCCTCATTTTCCCCTCCCTCCTACCTTGTGTTATTATAATTTTCATATCCTAACACCGACTAAGATGTTCTTTCTTTCCACAGCGGTACCGAACCAAGCCGTACTGCTGCAGCCTCTGTAAATACTCAACCAAGGTGCCAACCTCATTCAGGAACCACCTGCACCGCTACCACGAGGATGAAATGGACCAGGAGTTGCTGGTCCCATGCCCACACTGTGCATTCGCATCTCAGCCCAAAGTTGTGGGGAAGCACTTGCGGGTGTTCCACGCCCCTACCCGCAAGGTCCAGAACTACACTGTGAACATTCTGGGCGAAGCCAAGTCACCCCGCAGTGACTTCATCAGTTTCACATGTTTGAAATGTCACTTCTCCAACACGCTGTACTACATCATGAAGAAGCACGTGCTGGTCGCCCATTTCCACCACCTTATCAATGCCTACTTTGGTCTGCGGACGGAGGACCTGGGTGAACAGTCGAAGGCCGGCGACGCGTGTGCTGCCGACAAGACACCAGCCCCCAACAAGTATTACTGCAAGAAATGCAGCGCCAGTGCCTGCAGCCAGGATGCGTTAATGTACCACATCTTGACATCAGAGAAGCACAGGGATTTGGAGAATAAGCTTCGGTCTGTGATTTCAGAGCACGTTAAGAAAACCGGTCTGCTGAAGCAGATGAATATTGCTCCCAAACCAGCTGCAAATGTGGCCGCTCCCCCTCCCAGCGGTGCTCCAGGCATTCCAGCCACACCACCCTGCTTCCACCTTGCCTTGCCACCCAGCCAAAGCCAAACCCTAGTTCAGCCCGTCTCCCTGGCCTCGGGCGCTTGTGGGGGACTTGCCCCCCAGCCCCCCGGTGCCATGGCCAAGTCCCAGGTGGCACTCATCTCCAGCTCGCTGCCCACAGGCCCCAGCAGCCTGGCTCTGCAAACACCAGTCTCCCAGCCAGTCTTCATGTCACATGGAGTCCCACCCAACCAGCCTGTGCGCCCCACCCTGCTGCCCCTCAGCCAGCCTGTCAGGCCCATAGCCGACTCATCGGAGACCATCCTCCAGAGGGTTCTGCCACTCACTCCACCTGCCGGGCCCCTGAGCAGGCCCGCTGGGCCTGGCACTCTGCCGGGAATCAGGCCTGCCGGGTCTGGTGTCCTGCCTGTAGGGCATGCGGTGGCCCCTGGGGTTCTGCAGGCCATCTCACCAGGAGTGATCTCTGTAGGCCAGACAGTCCCTCCAGCTGTGCTTCCTGCTAGCCAGGTGGCCCCCACGGGGGTAGTTCCTCCAGGACAGATGGCTTCTGCGGGGGTCCTTCCTGCCAGCCAAATGGTCCAGTCAGGGGCACTCCCCATTGGCCAGACGGCACCGGCAGGCATGTTCCCAGCTGGGCTGACGGTCCCGCCCCGGGTGTTGCCCCCTGGGCAGACGGTCCCATTGCAGGTCCTCCCTACGGGCCAGAAGGCCTCATCAGGAGCACTTCCCACCAGTGGCCAGGTGGTCCCAACAGGGCTGCTTCCTCCCACCCAGGGGGTCTCATCAGGGGTACTGCCTGTGGGCCAGAGCATGAGCCCCAGTGTCCTGCAGCTTGGCCAGCCTGTTGTGTCAGGCATGCTTCCTGTGGGCCAGTCTGTGCGACCTGGCCTCCTGCAGCTTGGTCAGTCTGTCAGCAGCAGCCTCGTGCCTGGGAGCCCACCTGTCAGGCCAGGCACTGCACCCACCACCACCCTCCTCACCTCGGGCTCCATCCTCAGGCAGCTCATCCCCACGGGAAAGCAGGTGAACGGCATTCCCACCTACACACTGGCTCCTGTCTCGGTCACCCTGCCTGTGCCCTCAGGGGGCGTCTCGGCCACTGGCCCACCCCAGTTGCCCCTCCAGCTGCTGCAGCCCGGGGTAACTGGCCTGCCTCCACCCCCCATGGTGGTGAGTACTCCTCAGAGCATGTTTGTCCAGGCCGCGGCGTCTGGGTCTGAGGCGAGCCATGCCCTCAGGCAGGCCAAGCAGTGGAAAACCTGCCCCGTGTGCAATGAGCTCTTCCCCTCCAACGTGTACCAGGTGCACATGGAGGTGGCGCACAAGCACAGCGAGGCCAAGCCCAGCGAGAGGCTGGAGCCCGAGAAGCTGGCCGCCTGCGCGCCCTTCCTCAAGTGGATGAAGGAGAAGACTGTCCGCTGCCTGTCCTGCAAGTGCCTGGTCCCCGAGGAAGAACTCATCCGCCACTTGCTGAACCATGGCCTGGGCTGCCTCTTCTGCCCCTGCACCTTCCACAACCTCAGGGGCCTCTCGGAGCACTGCCGGACCAAGCACAGGGGCAAGGAACGGCTGCCCGTGGACTACAGCGGCCGGGGCTTCCAGCTGGATGTGGACGCCAGTGGCGGCCTGCTCTTCCCCCACATCGACTTCATCACCCTCTTGCCAAAGGATGAGCTCGGCGAGCGGGAAGTCTATCTGGCTGTGCTGGCCGGTGTTCACTCAAAGGCCCTTGTGCCTGTGTACATCAAGGTGCGACCCCAGGCAGAGGGCGCCACCAGCACCCCCCGCCAGCAGGTGCTGACCTGCCCTTTCTGCTTTGGCACGTTTGTGACCACGGAGGCGTACGAGGTACACTTGAAGGAGAGGCACCATATTACACCCACAGTGCACACGGTCCTGAAGTCACCTGCCTTCAAGTGCATCCACTGCTGTGGGGTCTACACTGGGAACATGACCCTGGCGGCTATTGCCGTCCACCTGCTGCGCTGCCGGAGCGCCCCGAAGGACAGTAGCTCGGAGCTGCAGCTGCAGCCCGGCCTCATCGACAATAGCGGGCTGCTCTTGGTCAGCGGGGAGATGCTCCACGAGGCCGGCTTCTCGGTGAAGAGGAAGCTCCCCGAGGGCCACCTTGGGCCCGACGAGCCGAGGGCCGGGGACGAGCAGCCTGTCCTGGATGGCGGCGACACCTCACTCGCTCTGGAAAAGGCGGCAAGTGCCATTCCTTTTAAGAGGCAGAAGAACGAGAGCAGGACAGATGCCCCAACGATTACTGACGAGGCGCTGGAGATCCTGGCGCTGAACCCCAGAAAGTACGAGGACCGTTCCTATGAGGAGAAGAAGCAGTTCCTGAGGGACTATTTCCATAAGAGGCCCTATCCCAGTAAAAAGGAGATTGAACTGCTCTCCTCACTCCTCTGGGTGTGGAAAATCGATGTGGCTTCGTTTTTTGGGAAACGAAGATATATTTGCATGAAAGCAATAAAAAATCACAAACCTTCTGTACTTTTAGGCTTCGATATGTCTGAGCTTAAGAACGTCAAACACAAATTGAACTTTGAGTATGAACCTCAGAACTTGTAAAAATAAGGAAAATCTAAACTAGGTAATTGGCCGTTTTACCTATTGAAATTTTGAAACATTACTTTCTCCACTAGTGTGTTGGGCTGATTTGGTGGTCTTGATGCTGCTCTTCAGATTAATTCAGGTGCTCAGAAAGACTGTTCTGTAAGGGAGTGCATCGATTTTTTCACATTTATTTCCTGTGGTTGATTTTGTAATTATTATTTAAAAAAATTTTTTTTTAATTACAGTTTTCCGTCACGTGAATTGAATCTCTGATGCTTCATGCACGCCGTTTTCCTGGTGGTGAACTCCACAAACTGCTGCTCGGTTCCCGTTTCAGCTTCCCGAGGGCTGCCACATCCTGTGTCATCTGGTTCACCTGGCTGCACACCCCTTCAGGGCACCCTGGACTCTAAAGTGTCTGCTGACTAGATGAGCCCTTTGATTTACCTTTCTGGCGATGTTTCGGTAGAATTCCTAGGGGGACCAGATGTTTTCATTTGCTGAAATACCCTGACCCTGGTGGCTGGTCTGTAGCTCCTGCATCAGAATTGATGTACAGTACAGTGGTTCTGTGGGGCAGAAACGCTCTCTGGTGTAGGCGCCTCACCTTTTTTGATGTGGTGATCATTTCTCCATTCAGAGGTGAGACAAGAAATCTTTAGTGCCTTTAGAATAAACAATAATAAAATGTCTTCTAATTTAACTGTCCATGAACTAGTAAGAGGGAAGGACCACATTACTCAGGAATAAAAATTTTAACCCTGAGTGTGGTTATAAGTTGAAACTTTAAACAGGTTTTCATGGGACACCATGAGGCAAAGAGGGCAGATGGCAACCCCTGGGTTGGTGTATTGATTTTTTGGGAAGAAGCTCCTGAGAGGTCAGCATGAATCCTGGGCTCCCCACTCCCACGCTGTCTGAGTTGGTGGGACTGTCAGTTGTTAGAGGCCCCATTGTATAACTGTTCTCTAGTTTCTTAAACAATTGTCAAGAATTGCTTCAAGTGCCAGAGCCAGTGGTGGAGAGCTGCCAGGTGCCCAGGTGGCAGGTAGCTTGGTCAGGAGCCCATTGGAGGGCAGCCCCACCTGGCCGGGTGGGCAGAGCCTCTTGGAAACACAGTAGAGCTCATTCAGTGGTGGTTGTACACATGTACCTTTGCATGTCTGGTCATCGTGTGCATTTAAGGCTATTGTGAAGTTTGTCTGTGATTGTCAGCGTCCTCTTACAAATTCAAAATAAGAGCTTGTTGAACTTTATTTTTTTTTTAACCTGTTGTTTTCAGAGTGCCTATTTTGAATTAAACTTGTTACACCACAGCAAATAGAACTGTTGAATGTCTTTCAACTGCTGAGACAGGGGTCTGTGGCCGGGACAGCCTGAACATGGGAAGACCAGGGCCTTCAACAGGCATGTGAAGAAATTCCATTACCCCACAAACCTCTGAAGCTCCCTGGACGAGAACACCTCTGTTTTCCAAAATTTTTATGAAAACATGTCCAACCTGAAGGAGCTCAAGATAAGAGTGGCTAGAGATGCCTGGGGTCTCCCCGGCAGTTCCTCAGAGTGCCACTCTGGAGTGTTACTTGACCAGGGGAGATGGCCCACCCCTGACTTCCTCCATTAGGTGACAGTAACACCTGTAATCGTGGCCCAACATGGGCCAGCCGGAGCCACTGAGATCCAGGATTCTGATTTCCCGTATGTCTGAAGCTGGCTGCTACGAAGGGGTGGTGCCCTTGAAAGTGAAATGAGAAGCTACAGGTAGTTTATTGAAGATATTTTAGACCATTTGAAAGATGGTTAGAAATCCAGGAGGGAAAGGAGACAAGTTTAGTTCTTGCATGACTTACAAGAAACTATGCTGTTAGGAGGGGCTTTGAGTCAGCGCCGACTCCGACACTCGATTTACAACACACACACACACTGCTTGGTCCTGTGACCCCCTCGCAGTGGTCAAGTCTGACCAAGCATGAGCCCATTTTCCCAAGGATTGACAAAACATCTGAAGTGTGTGTGTGTGAAGTCTCGCCATCCTTGCTTGTGAGGAGCATTATGGCTGCAGATTATCCAAGACCGATTTCTCTGTTCTTTCAGCAGTCTGTGGTACTTAGCTATTCTCTGCTATCACTGTGGTTCAAATGCATCAGTTCTTCTGTGGTCTCCCCGACTCATGCAGCTTTTGCATGCACGCTTTGAAACCATACTTAGAAGTTCATAGTTGGAAGCAATAGGAGAAGTGCAGTGTAGTTTTGAGCTGCTTTTAATTCTGTTACCCTTTATAGTTCTCCCCCGCCCCCTTCTGGGGTGAGGATTATTGCAGACCCTGGTTGTTATTTTATTAAATACTTTTATTGGGGGCTCTTACATCTCATCACAATCCATACATTCATCCAGTGTTTCAAGCA